AGTCTATTACACTAGCCCCTTGAACTTTCCTACTATGCAAACATTTTTCTGGGTAATAGATAAAGAGAAAACTATTCCTTATCGTCATGATCTGAAATGAAATGAAGACATATGAATGGCGGTCGCTTTTAGAAGGGGTTGTCGCCAATGGCGCAAGCGTCCCTCCTCGTATAAGGGACAAAAGGGCTGATTACAGGTCCGGATCTAAACCTTTTTTAAAATAACCTTTTTCAATATAATGAGATAAACCGCCTATTTAAAAATAAACATATATTTCTTTAAATTCAAAACATTCAGTTTTAAGACAGTCTGTATACATAAATAAAATCATTATTGATTTTTAAAATATTATTCGCAAACTAGGGAGGGGGAAATCAGACAACAAACAGAGATGATAGGTGTTAAATAATAGCTTTAAGACTACCGTTCGAGATACGTTGTTGTTATTTTTGGTTTGTCAGTTTTGGTTATTGAAACAAAGAAGGTTATTAAAGATAAAGTAAATATTTCCTCATTATTTAACTAACGTTATCTAAAGCATTTACATATATATTTTATTTTTCTGTTGTAATATTCTGTGCTAAAGATTTTTCTGATTTATTTCATCTGAGAATTATATTGTATAACATGTGTGTGTGTATTTAATGGACTCGATTTATGCTGTGAATAATTTCTAGTTTAAAATTAAATGTTAATCCAATCGTTTACTGTCCATTCGTGCCGATGTTTATGGTTCAGTATAGTGTAACAATAAAGACCTTGTTGAGTGTATAAATAATTTTGAACCAATATCTTATCAAACTAGTGAGCAATCAAAGCCAAAGAATGGTATAACTCATAGTCTAAAGATACTGGCACAAAACAAATGTTATGAATGTTTTAAGTGTGTTAAAGCAAAATAAAAACACTAAATCACCACAATACACCAAAACACTTTTACTTTTACACTGGACGCGCGTTTCGCTAACCATGTTACCATCATCAGCAGATGATTATAAACTACTGTAATTGGTGTATTGTGGTGATTTAGTGTTTTTATTTTGCTGTGTAACACCAAAGGTTCCAACCCTCAACTGTAATAAGTGTGTTAAAGCTCAAACCTTGGTATGAAGACAGTATTTGATTTATTATTATTTCTCTTTTATTAAAGTTCAGAACAGCTTGGAATCTTTGGAATAGTGATAAAGTTTTCTCTGCCGTGCTCTTTTACTTATGAATTCCAGGCAGAGTACGGCACTCCTTCATTTTATTTAATAAATTAAGTAGGGCTGTTTACAAATTTAGCGTTTCATTTACACAACCTATTCTCCTCAAATTTCCCTATTATTGCTTCTGTCGAGCGCACTCGAGGTAAGTCAGAATAAAAATATTTTATTTTTTAACACGACGTAGGTTCCTTTATTTCATTTAAATAATTCATAAGAGCTAAAATATTATCTTTTCAACTTTGTTGAACGACCCTGAGTTGTTATACTACAATACTTTACTTAATAATTTAGTACAATAAAAATAGGCTGAATGATATAATTAAATAAAAATTAGATCTAGAAGATTGAAAGGAGTAGACAATTATAAAGCACAATATCTTCTTGGATTTTTTTACTCAATGTTTCACATATATGTATCACGTCATCAAGTATGAACTAGTCTAAATCCTAAAACTTGAGCTTATAATGAGTTTATACAAATAGTCGAGCAAGGCCTTCACCTGTAGGAGTTGTTTACAGTCAAGTCAGAACCATATTGTCGATATTTCCATACATGAATTACTAATGATGTTATATTATTACTGCTAAAGATGTTTTTTAGTTTTATACTGTTTCCAATGAAGTTCCTTGTAAACAACCTGCACTTCCGACCACTTTATGTTGTGTTGCTTGGATGGATATATAACCCTCAAGTCACTCGCGGCTACAGGAATGAACATTTGGAGGCGCGCGGCCGGGAAATAAATGGAGTAAGAAATGGTACGCACAGGATGGAGCAGAATGAGTGAGAGGGGGGTTGAATGAAGGAGAGAAGAAATACATGGGGACATCGGAACAAGAGGAATTGACGGAAACCTTTGAACAGACAGAGGCCAATGAAGACTGGAAATCAGAAAACTTCAAAGAACGTTATGAACTGATTAGTGTATCTACATTTGCTAGAATAATTTCTCGTCACTGTCACTGAGCCCTTGCACTGTCTCAGTGCTTTTTGCTGGCCTCTTATTTCTGTAGAGACTTTTTTCTTACCTATTTACGTATTGGCTCTCTTGTCAGGTTTCAAGACTACTGTGTAGAAATTTACTAATGACGTTTCTATATGCTTATTTTGGTAAAAGCGGGATGAAACGGTCAAAGTGTACTTGGTTCAAGTGGATGCTGCCATATACCTGCAGTACTTATAATAATGTTGCGCGCGTCTCACTTGTACGCTGCTTGTATAGTGTTGACTGTTTTATTAAAGTCAAGTTGGAAGACTTTTAACGTCGAAGTAAGTAGACTGGCTTCCAACTTACTTGAATGCTACAAGCTCTATGTGAGCTAAGGGGCTGAAACTCGTAATGTAGATGGGGCTCGAAAAGATAGGACCCAAAATATTTTTTCATGGTATTTTGGCGACGTTTCGTGCACTATGGTACCCCATCATCAATGGCGCAAAAATAGTTCGATTTAAATGAAATTAGGTATGTTTATATATTTGACCAAGAGCGATTTGATCGTGTACGACACGTGTCACTGTGAGAATTAGTTTTGACGTAAAACTTCAAATGGTGATGTCGTTCGATCGTGACCAAATTTGGTGGGTAGGCGATGCACACGGTCCCACCCTGCAAAGTTGGATACGACGTTTCGTTTACATCATCATCAGGGTGGGACTAAGGGCTCAAACACACTGACGACCAGGTCGCACCGGCCAGGCCGCACCTACCTCTAAAACCATTAAATCAAATGAAATAGCGCACACTAACGTCCTGGCCGTCCGTTGGTCGTTGCGACCAGAAGACTGCACGGAAATATTATTGTTTTCTGTCGCTTGTTGCCGGTTTTCTTCCAAATTAATAATTTTTCAGATGAAATCCCTCAAATTCAAGGCACAATATTTTATTTTCTATAAGATATATGGTGGGTTCATACAGCCAAATAAAATAAAATAAGAATAAAATAAAATAAGAAATAAGGAATTCTTATTTGTGTGCGTTCATACAGTCAAATAAAATAAAATAAGAAATATATATTTGCTCATGCGCAGAACGATGAGGCTGGATAAAAGTTAACTTTTACGATTGTTTATAGTAATTTTACTATTTATAGTATATTTATTTATTCGTTGCCTACTATATTATACATTTTACTTATGTGAAATTATAAAATAAATTAAATCCAAACTGAAAATATTTGTAGGTTAGAATTAAGCGTGCGCAAAGCCGTTTTCACATAAAATAAAACAAGAAGTTAAAAGATAAAGACTTCTTATTTTATTTGGCAGTATGAACGCATGTACGGTATCCCATATAACCAACTTTCTTATTTTATTTTATTTTATTCTTATTTTATTTTATTTGGCTGTATGAACCCACCAATAGTGTTTTAGTGTAGTTTTTGCACACGTGCAGAAAATCCATAGAAATAGTATACAGACTGGATCAAAGGTAAACTTAAATCTAATCCCTTTTTTATATCAAGGGTCGATTCTAGTAAAAACATTTTTATATGACATACCTACTCTATTTATAGTTGTATGATACCTGTTATTATACCTTTGAGTTTCGATGTTTAAAAAATAAAAAAAATTATATTTCAAGTTTTTCTACAACGACTTGTTTTTTTTATTAAATTAGTTTTTTTAGTTGTATTGTAGTAATGTACAAGGAGGACAACTGTATTTTAAATATGATATTTAATATAACGTTTTTCAAACAGTGTTCATTAGACTATATTTCTACTAGGTACATTATTTTGAAAAAAAAATTAAGAAAGTAACTTAAACATTCATAAAAATAGAAGTAATTACTGTTGTAGATTCTTCGTTATATTGTAAACATTGAAATAACTGGAAGCTAAACTTTCTACCTGCTTATATTTAGAGCCAGTGTCTGACGATCTTTTTTTATGATGGCCCTAATATGTTTACTTCTAAAGTCGATAAGGGCGCCATATCAGTAGAAAAAAGAAACAGAATATCTCCCTTTTTGTCGGTCGCGCGTACACAATGCTTTTTGTTTGTTGTGAATAGCAACTTCGCTTTTTAGTTAACTCGGATATTTTAGCATTTCTGAAACAATATTTTCTAATTGGTAAAACGTAATAAATCGTTAGATTTGACAACTTTGTTGAAACTGGTCGTTCATCTGGCCGCAGCTAAAAACGCAATACATCCGGCCAGCCGACGGCCAGGTCGTTGCAACCTGGTCGTTTGTGAGTTTGAGCCTTAAGGATTTGATATTGAAGAAAAATGTGGGTCGACTTCGGCATAATTGGGGACGGTCTACAGGATGACGCCCTCGAGGTTTCAAACCGTTGCCTCTAAATGGACGAAATCATCAATATTTTTCTCTTAATTATGGGTCTATTGGAACAAAACTCGGCACGTGGATAGAGGTACCCGAATGAAGTCCTCAGACGGATAGAGGAACAGACGGTCATTTTAATACAAAACGTTTGTAAAGAATATTTGATCACATGGTTTAATTTTAAATTCGATTAGAAGTTATAAACCAATAGTTAATCAAATAATCTATTCAGTTTCTGGTGGCTATTGAGAACATCGTGTTTTACACAGCTTAATTTCATTAACGCACTTGAACTTCTACTGCTGTAAAATTTGAAACCGTTCTGAAGTCAAGACTAAAACATTTCCGTTTATCATACTTTGACATATTTCAGTCTAAAAAATCGAGCCTTTGACCTTTTTCTATCAACCAAATCTGCGGAAGGCCGCCTCTGTTCTCCTTCTATCTCGTTTCTTCATCCTTTTCTAGCGCGCTGGCTTATCAGTACGGCGCGAGCAGCGAGCTAGCCACCGTCAGAATATCGGCTTTATTTTCAGTAGGCTTTGGTTCGCGGTCGTCGCTCATTTGTTCTGGTCCTCGACGAATTACAATATTTGAATTCATTTCATTTTGAATGGAAGTTATTTCTCCAAAGGAAATCATGGTTACTTAACCACCGGATAATGTTGAATACAAACAAAAAAAACTAAGTCGCGCGTTTATTGACATTCATAGAAAAAAAAGTTTTTTCTGGATATCCGTAAATAAAGGGCAACTTCCCCATGAATGTGTTCTGTTAAATTTAAATGTATGATGAGTAAAAGTAAAAGACATAAGTGATGAATGAAAATTTGCTTGACAATAATGAGGAACCTGAGTTGGTTAGGTAAATAGTAAATGTCATATAGATTTTAATTTGTGTCCCATTTTCGTTACTTTTTTGGATATTTTATGTATTGACATATTTAAATTTGGGTGGGTACATAATTTTGTTTCATGTCTTTGAAGTTTTTGACAAATTTTTAAGATGGAACGCGTATATTATATATATTTTTGATAAATGATATTTGGGGATTTTATAACATATGGCTTGAAAAAAAAATTGAATTTTCTATTAAGTGAAACACGATGCAGATATAGTTTTTATTATTTGACATATAAAATTATAATAATCATATTATATATAAAAATGTATATTTAATTAGAGGTACTGAAATAAAAAAAAATATATGTTTTTTATCTTTAGTTGCCTTAATGGTGATGGTTAATAGATGTAGTAGATTAGTAGATAGATAATGGTGATGGTTAGTAGATTTTCATTATTTCGAATTTAACAAAATAAAAATTATGACTTTTATGTTAAGAGATAATATCGCGAAAAAGATGTTCTTTTCTAATATTAACACCAAAATATCCGTTTATGCATAATAACCTTGGTTCCAATTATTCTCAAATTTAATAAGATGATGAAACTTCCTGGAAAAATATCAACCTAGGTGTACTTAAACGTGTTGTATATTTAGTAAATATTATTACAAGGCTACTAGTTTTTTAACAGCGCTAATACTCACAAAACACACACAAGAAATACTAATAATATAATTGTAATAACTAAAATATTTACTAATCTGTTCATCTTACTAAAATGTTCATAAAAAATATCAGATCTATGTAGACTATTTATTATTACACAACATATGGAAATTATAATGTAATTTAAATCATCTTTTAGTTATTTTTTTAATAATTAATTTCAATATTTTAGTTTTAACAAAATAAAATTGTTTTGCACGGAGGTATAGCTTTTATTACACAGTTAACTTTTTTTTGGGACAAATTATTTTTCATATTATGAGAATATATGTTTTCTAAAACTTTCGAAAGTGCATATATAGGAAGCACACTGCCTTAATGTCTTACATCCATTTAACTATAAACACTTAGGCCCAGTTGTACAATCATAGCTTATAACTCGAGTTGATGTGAACTCGGATCAACGCTGAACTAGGAAATTTTATGGGGGTGTATTTTTCTTTTAATATAATATTAGATTATTAAAAGCCAAGTTTAAACCTGGGAAATGGATGGCTCAATTTTAATCGACGAATACCTATTTTTTATGTAAACGATAATAAGTCATTGAACAATCTATTAAAATTTTGAACTTGGTTGTTTTTTTTTAATCTATAATTATCTGCAAAAAATGAGCGGTGTAATTTAAAAAAGCTTTAAACTTTATTATAACTTTTTTTGTGACCATACTGTACAACAAAATATTTTTAGAATATGCACCATTATAAACCATCCATATTTGTTTAAAACTTTTTTTCTTATCTTTGACAACGAAGATATTGAACTAACAACCTAGCACTAATGGGCAACCCTGTATTTATATACTCTTAAGCGGCCCATACATTATCAAACAAATTGCGCAACAAAGCGATGCGCAACGTTCCCTTGCACAACTGCATCACCCATGCACTTAGTAAAATTTTGATCAAACTTTTTGTTAAAAGTTGTGCATTGTTTGCTAGTTGATACCCTAGATGATGTCAATGATACCATTGCGTCAATTATTATCGTATATACCCTAGATGATGTCAATGATACCAAAAAACGAAAAAGAAAACAAAGAATTTGGATGAAGGAACTAAAATATTGCACAACGAGAAGCACAACACACACATACACTACACAACGCGCTGCGCAAACGCCTGTCGCACAAAGGAATTCAAACATTCTTGAAACTTATCAAACAATTGCGCAACGCATCAAACGTTACCATACATTGGCAACTCGTCCGTTATCCTACGTGAGAGCATGGTGACCTGCCACGTGGTCTTGAAGTGGTTGTCACGTGGTTGCTGAAGTCTTCCATAAGTCTTCCATATCTAGTCAGCTTTGTTGTTACATTCCTCGCAATTGTCAATCTGCGCCTGATTTTAGCCTCGCATCCTCCAGAGTTTGCTATCATGGAACCTAAGTAGTTGCACTGGCCCACAATCTCGTATCCAGCCACGGTTCGCACATCAGGTTGGTTCTTGCATCGTCTTGGTTTTCCGTTTGTTTAGTTCCAAGCCATATTCTTTACTAATAGAGCACAGTGCAGCCTTGACTTCCTGCAACTCTTCTTTGCTGACGGCTATAATCACGGTATCATCCGCGTATCTTAGGTTATTTATATTTACTTTGGTATACAGGGTGTCCCAGGCTGAGCGTGCATTAGAAGTTTCTAGAGAACCACAATATCTAGACCGGAGATTTTTTGCACATCATTGTTTTACGACATCTATCGGTAAAAAAATATTTTCAATATGGCGGCACTTCCGGAAATACCGGAAGTTGACGACAACTTTCCTATTTTAAATAGGTGCCCCCATTTTTTATTACATACTTAAATTCTCTGTAAAACTTTATGAATTTTGATATCAAACACTATACCTAACATTAGCCGTTTTTGAGAAAAAAAATATATAAAATTTTTGGACGAAAAAAAATGTCTGTCAAAAATATGTGTATAGTCTAAACGTCAAATTTAGTGATTACCACAGCCACTGTGCCATAAAGAGAAGACATGTGGCTATCTATTTCAAAAATTAAATTGTTTGAATGTCATATAATAATGGCTGCAGCTGTCATGGAATTGAAAGATTAAAAAAGTATCATAAATCATTTTTTTCAAATAGCAACCAACTTTTTTTTATTTCACTAGTGAAAAGGCTTTTCAATTCGTTACTTTTTGACTATACATGTTCCTATACCTAAAATAAATCGTTTTTAAGTTTAGTTTTAAAGCGTATATTTTTCTTGATTTTAACAAGTAGCCTATGACTTTAAACGCTAAGTGATGTAAAACAATAGATCTGGCCATGTATTGTGACACTCTGTTCAAAAAGCAGTATGTTATCGATTATCATTTGCAAGCCAACTTTGCGTTGTTTTTTCAGGGTTGATAGAGTACATTATTAATATAATACAGGGTGGCCCATCGAAAACGTTCCGCAAGGCATAACGGCCAGGGTATTTTTTTTCAGAAAATCCAAAAACACGTCAATTTTGTTTGTGAGGGGGCCAATTTTTGCCCCAAAAATTATTGGAAAATCTTCAACCCTCTAAGCGGAGGTGTCATCCCCCAATTTTTTTCAAATGGGAAGGGGGGTCAAGTAGTACCGCAATGAAAAGGGCTTTCTATTCTCTATACTTTCCCGCTTCGTTTTTGAAAATCGGTCGAGTCATTGAGAAAATATGAAGGATTGAAATTTGAAAAGTTTATTTAAACATTTACCAGAGTAAACGATAAGGATAAATTCTTCGACCAATTTGCTGTTTTTTCTTATTATTTCTAGATGTTTACGCATTTTTTCACTTGCCACAAGGTTGAACGATCAGGTGTGGTAGTTGATAGATAGCTGTTCTGTGACTTATGCGTTGAAGTTCTTCTCAATATCGTTAAACTTTTTAACAATTATGGTGTACTCACTTGCAGAAAAAGTGGAAATAATCGACCTTTATTTTAAAAATAACGAATGTGGCAATCGGGTTGCGCAGATATTCAATGAACGCCATCCTGACAAACACCTTTATGGCAAAATTGTTCGCGAGTTAGTAGCAAAATTTCGCGAAACTCTGGTTCCGTTATGAATAAAAAGAGCCAGAGGGAAAATCCTGTAGTAAATGAAGCTATGGAGGTATTCGTATTGGGCCAAGTTGCCATGGATAGTACGCTGAGTACAAGAAAATTAGCCAATGAGACCGGTCTGAATCGTACAAGTGTCCAAAGGATATTAAAAAAAAACCGCTCCACAAAAAAAAAGTTCCACCCGTACAAAATTCAGTTGGTACAAGAACTCAACGAAGACGATTTTGATCGTCGCTTGCAATTTTGTGAAACTATGAGTGAACGAGTGGCGAATGATAATAATTTCCTATTTAATGTGTGTTTTTTCGGATGAGTGTACTTTCTTTTTGAACGGTGTCGTTAATCGGTACAACTGTCGGTACTGGGCTGAGGACAACCCCAGGGTTTTTCACGAGGTGCACACTCAAAACCCTCAGAAATTGAACGTGTGGGCTGGTATTTTTGGAAATTCTATTATGGGTCAGTTTAACGATATTGAGAAGGACTTCAACGCACAAGTCACAGAACAGCTATCTAACAACTACCGCACCTGATCGTTCAACCTTGTGGCAAGTGAAAAAATGCGTAAACATCTAGAAATAATAAGAAAAAAGCTCAAATTGGTCGAAGAATTTATCCTTATTGTTTACTCTGGTAAATGTTTAAATAAACTTTTCAAATTTCAATCCTTCATATTTTTTCAATGACTTTACCGATTTTCAAAAACGAGGCGGCGAAATATAGAGAATAGAAAGCTCTTTTCATTGCGGTGCCACTTGACACCCCTTCCCATTTAAAAAAAGTTGGAGGATGACACCCCCGCTTAAAGGGTTGAAGATTTTGCAATCATTTTTAGGGCAAAAGTTGTCCCCCTCACAAACAAAATTGATGTGTTTTTGGATTTTTTGAAAAAAAAAATACCCTGGCCGTTATACCTTGCGAAACGTTTTCGATGGGCCACCCTGTATAATATCAACTATTTGATATCACTAAGGAGCGAAAATACGAGATATATTTTTTAAATACACTTTTTAAACTTTTAAGCAACAATATTTACAATATAGGAAATTCAAATAATTTGTTTTCTGACAGATGGAAATAAACTGTCTGACTTTTTAACACTTACTCAAAGGAAGCTACATAAAATCAAGAAAAATATACGTTTTCAAACTAAATCTTAAATAACTTAAAAACGATTTATTTTTGGTATAGGCACATGTATAGTTAAAAAGTAACGAATTTGTTAAATATTTTCACTAGTGGAATAA